CCCACCTCTCCACCCCCCCCTCCCCCCCAACCTTAGCCTCTTGGGTTGTTGTGCTACTTTTACCCTTTGCTACATTTCTATAGTTAAGTTGGTTTTACTTGATTCATGTTTAAGGGGAAACCCCCCTTAAAGATTTGTTTCAACTCCTCCTGCAAATAAAAATAAATAAATGAAGTGGCAGATGTAAATGGACTCTGGTCATTGTCGCGCTGTGTGTGTGTATGTACACGCACGTGGGGGCGGGTATCTCCCATAGCAGCGTCAGGGAACCTGGAAGATAAAATGTCTTTGGGGGCCTGATCTTCACCAGCCTCACCCTCACTTGTCCTGGGGAGGAGCTTATGCCCACATTCTCCTCCCAGTGTGTCGGACACCCCAGGAGAACCAGGTGCTTTCACTGTGGTGTGTCATGCATGAGCAAGGACTTTGGCCTCCAAGGTAGTGGGGCGGAGCCGAGGGGGGTGGATAACAGACGCGGCCTTGTGTTTTCCACTGAGCAGCAAGCTTACCTGAAAGCGCCCGGCTGCGGGGCTCAGTGCTTGAGCCTGGACCTATGAACCAGGCGGTCATGGTTCCATTCCCAGTCGGCACATGCCGGGCTTGTGGGCTCGTTCCCCAGTGGGGGGCGTGCAGGAGTCAGCCAGTCAATGATTCTGTCATCGATTCTATCCCTCCCTTCCTCTCTGAAAAAAATAATACATTTAAAAAAAATTACCTGAAAGTGAGCCTAGCCCACGTGGGATGGGCACTAGGTGGACCCCACCTTTCAGCCCTTGCCAGCTCTGGGCTGGCTGTAGCCAGCAGAGGCGCTGAAAGGAGAATCTGGAGGTGTTTTCTGAAACCAAAGGAAGAGTGTGCGCTCTTCCTCCTCTGCACTAGCCGGGTGCCGGAGGGCTGTCCGCCTCCCAGGGGAAGCAGAGTACACCAGCAGTAGCTTTGTGGGCACCAGAACAACCACCCCTTCCACTCAGCTCCTGCCAAGGAGCGGTTCCTACCTGCAGGGGGGACCCCACCCAGGTATGTGCCTCTCCCCACCTTTTTCCCTGCAGCTAAAGGCTTGCCAGCAGGGAGAGGATAGGCCAGGAAGGCTCTGCCAAAGGTGGGTGGGAGCCTCGGGGCTAAGGTTTGGAGGACCGGAGGCAGCTGGACTGAAAATTCAGGTGAGGGCAGGTGGGGGAGCTGTGACCTGGGAGCTGTAACCTCAGCACTGGCCGGAGACCTTGGATTCTTCACCCCTGGGCTGGGGGCCGAACCTGCTGAGCCAGGCCGCCCCCTCTCCCACACCCACTCTCAGCACCTGGAGCGGGACCTGTCCTATCCGCTGTGTCTCCGCCTCCTTGAATTCAGTCTCACAGCTCGTCCCAGCCTACCCAGCCCAGGACTCGGCTGCCCGCGGGATCGCTCTATCCTCCCTGCCCGGCTCTGGAGGGCGTCGCGGAAGCGATGGGTATGTGCAGGAGGTTTGGGGTGGGTCCTCTACACAACTGTGTGGAAATGGCAACAAAAACCTCCACCACCACCCCGCTCTCCCCAACACGGAGCCCGGACTTGCGCCATGGCCAGGCGGCCTTGCTGTGGGCTTCTGAGCCGCTCT